AGTATAAAATCAAAAGGCAAAGATGCATCAAAAAGGAGAAGAGATGATAAGAGAAATAACTTTTTCACTCCGGATAAGAAGAATATTGGTTGAGAAGATCTAAATTGAAGTACGCAATGACGTTCACATAGGAAATTTTGCACTATCAAGATAATTACACAATTTTCAAAAACTCGTAACAACCAAGCGAAACAAAAAGGAGATATTCATCAAAACATAAAATTATCAACAATTTAATCGAGTGGCCAGTTTTTAGGAGGACTGAATTTTTCGTGTACTCCATCTACAAGAAAACAGGAAGTATGCCAGAAACAAAAAAAATTTTAATAGAGACTATAATGTGAAAAATATGCTTGATGTATCTGCAAAACAATTACTGTATAAAATGCAAATTATATGATTATATTTTAAGGTGAGTGATTTTAAATATTTATCTCTTTTAAAATTCTAATTTCATAAAATTAAAAATATAATAACTTTAGTCACCACTCATATTTAGATTGTTTTTTTTTACCGAAAACTCTCAATAGAAAGCAAGTGTCTATAATATCCTTATTATTTTAGCGTGCTTATTTTAATTATCTATTTTGTTCTAAAATATTTAACACAATGAATGAAAAAAAGGAACTTTATTATATTGCTATCAGATAAACGACAACTCAATGAATAAATTTTGTAAAAGATAAATTGATGGGTGAATAATATTAATTTAAAACGCAGCTTAACTTAATAACGTAAACTGATATATTTTATTATTAATAAAAATTGCAATATTTTATATAGATATTATTTAAAAATTCATCGAAATGTAATATCATATTTTCTTTGTATTAACATTGCGCATCAAATTCTAAACAATGCTGACGTGATCTTTTGCATATAAGGCATCGGAATATTACACGTAGTTAATACAGAGTGATGCATACACATACACTACTGTTGTCTCCTGATTTGCCTGCAAAATATTGACTTTATACTTTTTCATTTACTTTATCTCAGATTAAAATCCAGTATTCAACTGATAAAAAAGACTTGATAAAATAAACTACTAATTTGTAATACGACACTTTAAAGTAGTTCGATACTTTTTTTTTTGAGATAATTTGATTACTTAATTTAGGTAATGGCTCTAATGACTTATGGACAAATATTAAACAACTTATATAACGAAAAAAGAAATCCGAAATAGGATTAATTATGTCAAAACATATAGTTTATGTGGTATGAAAAAAAAAACAATTGTTTGTGCCTTAAAAGTATAAACTGTTTGCATAAAAGAGTAAAAGAAAGGATAGGAAAAAAAGCGTTAAGTTAACTTATAGAAAGGAAATGGTATGAGAATGTTGAGGTTTTGATATGGATGTGTGAAAGTTGAAGATAGACTGCGGCAAAGAAAGGAATACTTATATAATAGTATGGATTTCAAATGTATATGTAGGATGATGTAAGTGATGTTTAGATAAATTATTAGGAACTATGCAATAATTTTACTAGTTATTGGAATGAAGGAATTGGGCTATCGGACATTATCTTAGCCAATCTTTAGGGCCCAAACTCTGGTTATGTTAATAAACCGATATGCTTAATTGAAAGGCGATAGAATGAGATTGAAATAATATAAAAGTAACCGATACAGACAAAGATGAAGATAATAAAAGATGACCTTGAGAAATAAATGATGGAGAGATAGGGGAACGTCCATCACTTGTAAAGCATATAGTCCTCAAGCAGGGTATGCTTCCGTGATAGGATGATAAAATAAGGAGTTACGGGTACTAGGGAACAATACCTTCAGTATAAGTGATTTACTAATATTGGTACATTGAGGTCACATTCTTCGTTGGATCATGGTGCGAAGATAGTTTTCCTCTGTGACAATTGTTGGAGTCCTTTAAAAGTGAAAACGTAGACCTCAAGGTTGTGCGCACAACCCAAGGTACACTATTACCTTGATACAGTACGAAAAAAAATTATGTACCAATAAAATAAAATGATTATAATACCCAAGTAAATGGGGGGCCCATATGTATGTGTATAAAGTACCTGCATGTTAAATATCATGAAAATAAATATAATTGAAATGAATTGAAACTCCGATGCCTGAAATTTAATAAATAAATACATATATGTGTGAATAGAGAGAAATAAAGCTAGCTAAAAGTCAAAATATTAATTAAAAAAAAAAGAGAAAGTACGTACAAGATTTATGAAAAGAAATGATAATAAAAAGGCCTAACAATCTACAAAAAAACAAGGTAATAAGGGGATCCCCGACCAAATCCATAGGGTTGGATAGATAGTTATTTTGCAATTCTATATTAGGACTATTAACGCTACCCAAAATGCTACTAGCAAGTTGCACATAATAATATAACAACTATAGGGTTCGATTCGCACAACTACACGTAAACAAATAAAAATATATCAACCCAATATGATAATTACACTTTCGCGTAAATTTATATAATATTTACAAGATTTTTTCATATTTAGGCACATTGATTCATATTTACAATGATTCTGCCTCAAATATTTTTTTTTCTGTCTCATGTTTTCTTATGTAAAATGTGTACAATTTTGAACTACATTTATATAAAGCTTATTATAATCAAGTCTAAAGGTTATCGATACACTATTATTATAAATTTTATAATGTAATTGTTTTTTTTTTCTCTATAAAAAAAGCAACAAAAACCTAAAATTGTGTCACCTGCTTGAAATAAAATTGTCTTTTCCAATGTAAATAAATATTTTGTAAAAAAACTTTAGCTATGTACCAAACAACCGACCAAATCCATAGGGTTGACTATAGATATCAAAATTGTTCTTCTCAATGTTTAAATAAATTAATGTTTTGTTATATAACTGTTACAGTGATATTTTAATTTTTTTTGCATACGCTATAATTATCATCATAATATTTCTAACAACGTTAAATTAATACTTACATTCATGTTATGATATATTGTTGTTATCTTAAAATTAGGTGTGAATCACACTGTGTGGTCATAGTTCGATGTAATCGCAAACATTTCCGTATACGTACTTTGGAATTTAAAACAAAGGTGTTTCAAATCGCTAGCACTGCTAAGATTGCAATTTGTATTTTGATCTGTCTGTTGTTATGGTAGTGATGACGACTTATGTCTCCATTATTATTTCTTTGTTCTCTTAATTTTATAATTAATTGATTTAAATTTTGTTGTGCCCATATTGTGAGCCCCAATCCCTGACTGACAATAATGTAACTAAATATTATACTAGACTATAAGATATAAATTTGTGAAAGACGTACGAAAATTTATGAATAGGATATGGAATACATAATTATAAATAAAAAGTATTGACAGTGTGTAGGTGTGAGCAAAGGAAATAAAAATTATCGGGGGTTAGCATATCCACATACAATCGGCATGATCAGCTGAGTGTTTGGAAAACCTAATAACCGATTATTTTTTTGGGGTTGTTCGGATACTATAAAATGCGGGATGAGTTTTAATATATTGGTAATGAGGGAAATGAGAGTTTTCTTTTAGAATTGTATAGTAATATTGCCCATAATCTTGACCATGTATGTATGCCGAGCCGTGTACGTGAGACAAATATCATAAATATTTAATAAATAGCAAATTGCTGTGGAGTAAAACGGAAAATAACTAGTGGTTAACAAAGAATAAATAAATATTTGAAGTAAAATGAAATATTGAAATGTGAAAATGAGAAGAGTGTTATTATTGTTCAGACTAGAAAAGTCGTATGATTACAAAATGATTTAAGTGACTAAAATATGGCTTAATGCCTACGAGTAAGTGACTTAGTTTAAAATGCACTACACTTTTACTGTGAAAAAAAATATGGGAAAATATTTAAGCGTATGTGGATGTTTATCACTGTGACAAATCTATGTACAAGACTGTAACCTCGACATTGATATTGGACAGTGGTTACATATATAATATTGTAATAATATTATAGTTGTTGAGTAATACATTTCAGACATTGTGTACTTAATCGATTATAATTGTAATAAATTAGTATATTTTATTAATTATTATTACTTTACCTTAATATTAATATAGTATATTACCAATTGTAATCATATTAATCTCGTATTATTTTAACTATTTGTTTATGCTTTTACCCATGTTTACATTTTATAAATTAGAATATAATTATTGTGTAATTTTAAATGTTAGTATTATAAAAAAAAGAAATGCACATATTCATTTCTTTTTTTCTTTGGGAAGGAAGGTGTAGTATTTACCTAGTACTATATGTATGTTTGGGTATAATCTAATATATAAACTTATTAACGTAATTACAGGCAGTCTTACGTCACCACTCAAGCGTTTCATTTCGTTTTATAATATAAAATTAAATAAATCTTAATATGAAATAGGGTAAAATGGGAGTTTATTTTCTTATAATTACAGAATGGTAAGACATTTAAAAAGAACAATTTATAAAAAATAAAAACATATTAAACTCCTCAGATTAAAGACTTATTAATATAATATTATGTATATACCATTGCTCATTAAGCCTCTGACAGGTGATTGGTATCCAAAATATTTTTATTAGCTTGACTCTCTTTCAAAGCAAATTAACACTTAAAACCTATCATCTCCACTGCTGAACGCCCTCATCCTTAGATTGCCTCATACTTGCTGCAGTTGCCACGACTCGTTTGGTTGCCAATTGTAGCTTTTAATTTATATTTAGCTGTTATTGAAATAGGAAAATCCTGCTGCCGTCGGCTGGTTCAGCATCCCTAAGTCAGCTCCTATGACAGCTACGGGATGATGTGGGGCAGTGGATATTCTTACACGGCCACTACGCAGACAAATTTTCACTTATCTTTTGACTATTCTAATTATAATATTTATATAATATTAATAAATCACTATTTATGAATTTATAAATAATTTGAAAGTGCAAGAAAATCAAACAAGTTGTTTGTTCTTGAATGTGGAAACTTATTGGAGAAACTTTTAACTTACATGCAGCGCGAGAGACGGTCGCAAGACTAATAGACTCAGAGTTTAAAATCACTATATTATAAATAGACTAATACTATTTTATATTTAGTTTTTGTGCCAGTGCTAGGGCTCTGTTACTATGTATAGAGTATACCTTGACCTTGGTTCCTTGATTATTCGGTTTTGTAGAACGTCTGGTATCGGTTACTACGCTCACGAAGAAAGTGATCTAAATATTACCTACTTGGGTTTGGCTCCCGGTAGAGTGCTGGCCTTTTATTACCGTAGCTATACACTTGGAGAAACTCCACGTTTAAAGAGTCTTTAACTGTTTTATACATTTTAAAAACTTTTAACTTTTCGTATTCGTACATTGGTTTTTCCATGGAATGGAGTATAGAGTCTATAGATATAAGAAGAACCATCTCACTTAAGAGAATAGTTGAAAAAGTGTGAAATATCTGGAACTGGCTCACGAGGTGACCGACATGTGGGGTGGACTGCCGACCAAAATTGTGCCTGTAGTCGTTTCTGCCAACAAGTTGATCTTAAAGCCTTTCGGGTCATCTGTGGCGACTGGGACTCCGTGACGGGCCGCTCCACGCTAAAATTCAGAAGGTGGTGCTCCTCGATACCGCTCGCATCGTCCGCCAGTTTATTTCCCTTTCCCCTTAAGAGGATAGAGTAAGTCAGCTCAAATTCTAATTTCGCCCCCACTTCCCCGCGCGTCGTATGCTATGTACCGACATGTTTGTAATCACTAATACTGTAAGTAGATAGGTCGTTAGATACTTATTTCATTAGGTTTATCATATTTATGCCTGTTTCTTAACGTCAACCCAGTCACTTCTTATTTTTATAACGGTTATTTCCCATTTTAATTTTACGTCGTCCTGTTGCGTAATGTGTATTCTGATCGTAAGCGACACAACTTCTCCCTTCAAAAGCCGGAGCGATACTAACGGGGCGACAGGAATCAAGCTTACGCGCCGATAGTTTAGGTAATTTCTTTTTTACAGTGAAAATAATGGTATTTTAAAAAAAGTAAATAACATAACCACTGCTTTATAGTTAGTCCAGTTAGTATGCAAAGTTTCATGATCTTATTTAAAGTATTTTATGAATAACAGCGGTTTTTTTGTTTATTTTGGAGGTAACTTTGGATTTTTTTTCTATCGAGAAAATTTTACGGAATCGTGTTTTCGTCTAACATAATCCTTAACATTAATCCTCAACTTTACCATATATTAATTTCAAAATTAATGCTGCAATATTTTCGGCATAACGAAGGATCTTGCTAAGCCATTTGACATTATATTTCCCCTTAACCCACAGCCGTTTGGTCTCCCCTGCTGAGGGCTTCCATCTGGTTGGCTTTTTATTTATTAATGTATTTGTTATGTATTCATTTTATTTTAGTGATATTTATGTATATTTATCATTTTCATTTACAATTATATATTTATACAATCCAATCAGATGAGAAAACTATATAGATACCCCATAATAATAATAATAATGTCCCCCAGACCAGAATTTCGGTCACGGCGGCCTGCCTCAACGGAGGTTAGCCATCGGCGCGTTTAAACAATTTAATACAAAATAATTCGCGAACCTATACTTATTTCCATTACAATATAAAATTTGAGGATATTTTACTTTTGACCACTTAATTATTTTTGACATTGACATTAATATTTCATATTAATTGATTTATTTATTACTTTATTAAAATTATGTAATGTCCCTATATATTTCTATTACTTTTATTTAAGGGGTTAAGTTAAAAGTATGTAGAAAATATTGCATAATATGCGCAGTAAATAAATACCATTATGTAATTTTACATGCACTGCCTCATAATATAAATTATGGTAGTATATTGTCATCGAGGTGGAATTAAGAAAATATAAACGTTTTTATACAATATCGGTCTTTATTAACACTTATGTTATAAAAATTATAATGCTTCTCTTAATTAAGATAAAAGAACAAATGAACTTTTCATTATAAGTGATAACAATCAAAAATATATGGACACTATTTACAAAGTCCCATTGAGATTATTGAAACTTTGTTGGATACATTGAATTCATTATATTCTATATTCATACTTATTACAAACGGGCTTAGAATATCTTTCTATTGTGGTGTTCTGGTCGACCAAACTTTGGCTCTTTCACTTGGCAGTCTTAGTTCTTTTCCACACTATATGTTAAATAATATATTGGCTTATACCCAATTATCATTTTGGTTCAACCCATGTTACGTTTTTTCTTGATGGGAGGTGTAAAAGGTGTTTATATATAGCCATTTCAAGATGCAACGCCAGGTGATAACTCGTACACAATATTAATATTAGGTTGCCTTAAAGCGATAAACAATGCTCGAAAACAAGGTTTCTTTAATTTTCAAGATTTTATACGAATTTATTATACGAGGTAATGAGATTTTTGAGTGCTGTAGATATATTTAAACATTTTATTTAACTTTTTCAATGAATACTGGCGCTCCGATACATTCACAGCCGGATTTCCTACGGTGTCAACATCTCAAAGATCTTGCAAGCACGTCTGCCGGTGACGCCGGTAGAGTACTTCTTAATGACATTACAAAATTATGTAGTTTTATGCTTTCTGGTAATGTCAATCCCATTTTCATTCCCTACTTATATGGATCAAGATTTTGTGCCTTCAAAAAAATGATAACGGTATCCGTCCTATTGCTATTGGTTCCACATTTCGACACTTTCTTCTAAATTAACGTGCAGGCATATAATCTCAAACCTTAAGACAAAATTTCAGCCTACTCAACTAGGCTTTGGCACTAAAGGTGGCTGTAAGGAGGCGGTACATTCAGTGCGTACTTTTTGAACAAATTCTAATGCAGATGTTCTTCTGAAGGTTGACCTTAGAAGTGCTTTTAACTCAATTGTTAGTGTAACCCTGCTTAAAAGAAGTGACTAACAATACCACCGAAATTTATCATTACGTTTGGCAATGTTACACCCGAAAATGAACTTGTTTCGTCAAAACAATATCAGGCTGCTGCCGGTGTTCAGCAGGTGATCCATTAGGCCCAGCAGCTCTTTGCAGTTTGGGAATTAAACCTATTATTTTAAATTATAATCTAAGCTGAATGTCTTAAACCTATTTTAAAATCAAAATTTGATAAATTTTTAAATCACGTTGATATATTGTATATCTTAAAGCCCCATATTGCCCTTACTATTTTAAAATATAGTCTCCTTGTACCTAAATTTACATACTTAATACGCTCAAATCCAGTCTGGAAATGTTCGATTAATTTAAAAGATTTTTTATGGGAGAGAGGCCAACGAGCATACGGTTTACCTGATTATAAGTGACTACCGCCGTCCATGAACAACTGCACCACCAAGGATTGCATTTTTTCGTGGTGCATGAACTGCACACAAAATGCCGCAAAATGCACCACGAAAAAATCGCCGGTAGAAAACTATTCCACTGAGAGATGACGTGGAAGAAAACTCCTAGTGAAACGTACAGTGGTGGACCGCCCAGTATCCAGATGGTGTGGATGGTATCGGGAGGTGTGCCGCGTAGTAAGTTCAAGTTCAAGTTCAAATTTTTGCGGCTGGGAGTAATTCTAACAATTCCTTAGAGCACTCCCCGTGATACATAGGCTGCACTAAAAGTATCGGGAATGGAATATTTCCACTGTTCCTGTCATATTAAAATCTTTTTTAATTGAAAACTCCTTGATTTTAAAAATCGAATACCATTTATTTATTTAAAAAAAGATTCTCGGTCTTGTCACAAGGTTTTGTCAAACTTGTTTAGTCGTTGAGAAAATGGAATTGACTCGAGAAAATTCAAGAGCGATGATTTATTATGACTTTAGAAGTGGTTTAACATAAAAACAGTGTGTTGACCGGATGATTTCTGCATATGGTGATGAAGCCGTATCAAAAACCACAATTTATCGCTGGTTTGCTGAATTTCAACGTGGACGTGTCAAGCTCAGTGATGATCCCCGTCAAGGTCGTCCAAAAACTGCAGACACCTTAGAAAACGTTGATGCTGTGCGTAAGCTGATTGAGGTAGATCGACATGTGACATACCGCGAAATTCAGGCAACTTTAGACATTAGCATGAGTCAAATACAAATAATCTTGCATGAACAATTAGGTGTAAAAAAGTTGTTTTCCCGATGGATACCGCATTCACTCTGTGAAGAGCAAAAAGCGGCTCGCGTTACTTGGTGCGTCAGTTGCACTCTCGTAAGATTCCACGCAGGATCCTCAAATGCTGTATACAATATTGTATCAGGTGACGAATCCTGGATATACGCGTACGAACCCGAAACAAAAAACCAGTCACGAGTATGGGTGTTTTAAAATGAGTTAAAGCCAACAAAAATTGTTCGTTCACGGAGTGTTGCAAAAAAATGGTGGCCACGTTTGTCTCCAAAACCGGCATGTTACGACTATTCCTCTTAAATGACAAAGGACGGTTAATGCAGAATGATATGCTAGCATTTGTTTGCCACAGGTCGTTTCTGAACTCCGTAAAGAGAACTGCAACCTCCGCATCATCCTCCATCACGACAATGCGAGTTCTCACACCGCACACAGAATAAAAGAGTTTTTAGAGCAAGAAAACATAGAATTATTAGACCATCTGCCGTACAGCCCCGACCTAAGCCCTAATGATTTCTATACCTTCCCTAAAATAAAGAAAAAATTGCGTGGACAGAGATTTTCATCACCTGAAGAAGCTGTGGACGCCTACAAAACGTAGATGCGAAAGAAAATGCAAAGATATGCAACATCTCTTCGCAGCCCCAGTGAATCGACTGGAAAGCACTCGGTCGTCGACGGTTTGAGCCGCTGAGCCGAGTTTGGGCTCCACGGACTTTCATGTAAGAAAAGTACAGGTAGGTTTTCCCGTCATAGTTCTTTGAACGAAGTCAACCGAAGTCCCAACCTCTTGTCTCCATAAATATTCCATCGGTTTTAGAGCCTTGCGGAATATTTATAGACGACGGCAGGAGACCTGACGGTATGACTTTGGTCCCTTTAGAGAGATGTAAAGCCCTAGTTTGGGATGCTACTTGTGGTGACACTTTGGCTGCCTCTCATCTTAAAGGTACCTCTTTTAGAGCCGGGGTGGCATCAGAAGCAGCTGAATTAAGTAAATGGCGCAAATATGAGTTTTAGGGAAATGACTACATATTTGAGCTATTTGCTGTAGAGACTATCGGTCCGTGGGGTCCACGTGCAGTGAAGTTCCTAAAGGAATTGTAATTACGATCGATCGCCGCTGCTGGTGATAAGAGGGCTGGTTCTCTCGCTCAAAGACTAAGTATAGCTATTCAGCAAGGAAACGCAACCAGCGTTCTTGGA